AGCAAAGGCCTGGGGAAGAGTATTTAATCTGAAATTTAGGATATTAAAATCAAACCCAGAAACAAGCTTCCTTGGGCTAGTTAAGCTAGATGACTACATAAGTGATTGGGATAGACTACTGGATTAGCTAGTTAAGCTGGACGACTTCATAAGTGATTGGGATAGACTACTGGATTACAAATTGTCATGCCTGGGTATTTTGGAAACAATGAGTAGTCAAGAACTGACCCAGCTCACCAGAAGATGTCTTAAGGACTTCAGTTATGAGAGCACGCTGATCAGAGCTCACAGAATGTGTTCATCCTTCTCAGTTGGCATTCTCCCTCCAACAAAAGTGCCAAATTATCTATCTGAGTTTACTACTCCAAGGTATAGAAGGGCTTTTATGCTAGCATGCCTGAATGCCTTAACTTCAGCAATGACACTAGGAAGATTCAGTGGAATTCCATATTCAGATAGACTGCAATTGTGGCAGCAACAAAATTGACTCTGTAAACCACATCCTCTTCGATAGTCCTAAATTCTCAGAACTAAGAGCTGAATTGATTTCCCCATTATTTAATCAGAACTCTCTTTCTCTAGAAGCAAAATCATCCTGGCTACTCAGTGAAAAAGATAAACAAACTACTATGTGTGGCGAAATTTTTGGCAGCTGTTGTTAAGTTACATGATAACTAACTTTTAGGTTCTCCTCCTGTGGGGTGAGGGTTTGCTGTTTATGACTTAGGTTGTAAAAACAATAAGAAGTAAAGAATCTTTTGCTGTTTCCCCCATTTGGAAATAGTGGAACTCGCAACCTCTGATCTGTATCTCATATAGTAGCAATAATCAGTCCATGCTGATAAATCAGATTTTCCATTATAACCACATATCTACCTTTCTGGATCAAAACCATGAGCAGTTAGTATCTGTGTTTTAAGAAGATACCACATTTACTTCATTTGGTCTCACAAATGAGACCAACATGGCTGCAGCATCCTTAAATCAGGGCCTGCACTCACCACGGGTCCCATTTGTGGAGCTGCAGGGGCAGGGAGGAGATGGCAAGAGTAGCCACAGTGGCTCTTGCCAGGGCAGAGGGGGTGGGCCAGCAATGAGCGTGGGAAGCTGGGGCCCACCTGGCCCAATGCTGGACCTATCAGAGAGTCTGGGGTGGCTGGTGGGGCAGGGGCACCCCAGCTGCTACTTAGGGCACCATGCCACCCCAGCTTGCCCTTATTTTTGGTGTCGTGCTTTTTATAACTACATATCTACCTTTCTGGGTCAAAACCATGAACAGTTAATATCTGCATTTTAAGAAGATACCATGTTTACATCATTTATGAGACCAACCTGGCTGCAGCATCCTTAAGCAAAACTTCATGTAGTTTGCATTTAGTTTTCACATGACTGACAGATTTTGGGTGTCATCAGAATGTCAGACATCTTTCATAAAAAAAAATAAAAATAAATTCCATCTCCATATACTGGGATTATTGATATTCAGCCAGAGAATAATTTCTCCAGTATGTGTCTGGGTTTTGTATCTCATTAAAGGATCTGTGAAGATTTGTGGCTTTCTTGTTTACAGTATTCCTTTTAAATTACTGCTTGGCATGCCCTTGCACTACAGGATGCCCCTCTCAGCTTGCACACTGCAAGGGGTGGCTTGGATTATTCCTCCTCCTCTGATTTTAATTTCTTTTCTACACCCATCACATATATTATACTTAAGAATTGCATTGCTTCATTGGGGGCACAGAAGGCCAAGTAGCAATATTTTCTGAAGTTGCATTTTAATCTGTTCTTATGACTTTTTCATTTTGTAGTATCTTTTCAGAGTTAACATTTTAAAGCAGCAAAAGCATAACTTATTGTATGGGGCACACAGAGGTCATAAGCAAACATGCAGTCATTTGGTAGACAGTGGCAATCTTTATATTTGCAAAGAAAAATGCCAGTTGATGTTGGTATCATCTGGTTGAAAGGTTATAAAGCTGGGAACCCCTTAGGTTGACATATAGTCACAGGTAGTGGTACAACGGTTTGTCTCTCTCTTCTGTAGCTCCTGTTCCCTTACCATTCTATGCCACTATCCTAACTCTAGTCTCTTCATCCATTTCCAATATTCTTCTGCCCACTGATTTCAAACTTTTTGGAAACCCCAGTAACGGTGTAAAGAAAACCTGCAAGTGTGTTTAATTTGTATTGGTATATTCAGCGCACTCAATTTTGGGATAGATACTGAAAAATGACTAGGAAACAGAAGGTAGTATAGAGGAAGAGCCAAGGTTGTGCATATTTCACTTAGATTTCACCGTGGTTTTCACCATCATATTGACTATCATCTTGTAGGTGTACTTATAAATGTCACATAAAGTATCATGTTGGCAATCACCATTTGGAAGAGTTTATACCGGGCATATGAAGATGTTGATAGACAGTATCATGATTCAAGAATGAATATGTGGAATTGCTGGAGCAATGACTCTAGTATGGTGCAGTTGCTCACAAATGGCATATGAATATATTTGATTATGGCTTACAATGGACTGATGCATGACTGAATACTTCAAGTGAAGCTAAGGAGGTCATGTAATATGTTGTGACTTTTTCTTTCATCCCTATTTCACTACCAACTATTCAAACTGTTTGGGTGAGTTTTGGCTGTTGCAAGTGTTTCTGGGCTCCAAAGATTTAATTTTCATCAAGGAATGACAAGCAGGATATTAAAACAATGTTCTTCCATGGTGGATTGCCTGTGCTTCATATACTAGAGATAAATCTTTTTTTTTGTAAGTGTTCTCTGCTGTACAGTAGCTGAAATGTATATGTTTTATTATCATATATTTATTGTCCCTCATAGTAGGAGTGCATATGCTTGCCATATAATTTCATTGCTTATACTATCTGTAGCATTGCATTTGTAAATTGTTGATTGTGTTGTCATCCCTTTATACCACCCTGGTGCTGTAAAAGAAGCTTTAACATATTTTCAGCTTTGACTATATGCATTAGAGGCACTTTTGCATTGCCAAACTACTTTTAAGAAACATCAGTTTAAGTGATTCATGCCTCTAATGTATATACTGTCCCAGTGACAAGTAAGCCCCAAACGTCTAATAATTTTGAATTATGCACGTCAGACATATTTGCATAATTTATTATGACATGAACATTTCATTCTTCATTAGAATTTAAAGGGCTTTTTCCAGCAGGGGGAGTGGTGGTTGAAAGAAAGGAGATGTTAAAGGTGCAGGGTGAAAACTGTGAGTTGTTATTATATGTAAGCAAAAGAACATGGTGGACATGGAAGAGCACTGGAAACTACAGGGGCTAACATATTCTTCCATTTAGATTATCATCAGCATCTACATCTTAGGAATCTTTACCTTCGCTAGACATTTCTGTCATGATATTAAGATTTTTCTTTGCATCTATACATTTTTAAAGCTGAAACAAGTTGTTTGCATCTTCTTTATTACCATGCCTGCTTTCTTATGATCAAAGTCATACATATATCCTAATTAAATTTCCGCAGATGCATACAGATGCAGGGTTTCCCCCCTGTAATTCTTTCTTATTACAGAAGGATAATTTTTATTTTATTAAATTATGACCAGGGAGGGAGACTGACAAGTGGAATCTTCCATCTAGTCTCACAGTAAATGCAAACATGCTGTCAGTGATACTTCAAAGGCCTTCTGAGAGGACTATCATTAATAGATAGAGCAGAAGGAAATCTGACTGGAACAGATTTGGTCAATCACCTTGTTTGTTTGGTACAGAATATATCAAACTCTCAGAAAAGGAGGGCGATGACTTCAATTGTTTTTTTTTTCTTTGTAGCTGTTGGTGAGCTTAGTGTGTGTGTGTGTGTGTGTGTGTGTTTATGCTGGAAAGCAGGGCTATTTTGGGGCAGGAACGCACAGGAACGGAGTTCCTACTGGCTTCAGAGTTGACCACACCCACTACAGCCAAAACCTTTGTGTGCATGGCTACAGAGGGAAGGCCTGGAGAGCTAACCCCCCGGGGACTCCGAGGCGGGTGGGCCAGGGGCCCCCTGGAAGGATCAGGGAGGCATTTAAATGTCTCCCCATGCCTTCCCTGGCCTGTCCAAGGGCTGGCTTGCCCAGGTGCCCTGTAGCTGCGGGGCGCCTGGGCAAGCCAAGGGAAGGCATGGGGGGTGGGCCAAGGGAAGGCATGGGGTGTGGCCTAATAGGCTAATGATCTGTGGTGTCAGGGGTGTGGCCTAATATGCTAATGATCTGTGGTGTCAGGGGTGTGGCCTATTATGCTAATGCGTTCCTGCTGGGCTTTTTCTACAAAAAAAGCCCTGCTGGAAAGAATATGTCACCGACAACTTGTGGCTTCAGTTACTTGTCATGGTGATGCTACCACCCAATATCAAATGCTTCAGCTAGAAAAAAACATTTTTTCATCACTGGGATCATGTTACACCCCTCTCTTTAAGTTCCATTATTAGCTCTTTTCTGCTTCAGCTTCCAAATGACTTTGAAGCTATCTATTAGATGTGTTCTGAGGTGAGTCAACTTAGCCAATCCAAATAGATGTTAGCATGCTCATCCAACTGAATGATGCAATTGGCAGAACAGTCTAAGGTGTTATATATCATCAGTAATGGGGCTTTGAGATGGCTTGCATTTGTTGCTATTATAATTATTGCAAAGGACATTGTGTGCCCTGCTCTGAGTGTTATTCTCCACCTTTTATTCCTGTAATCAGCCTTCTTATTTAGATTTTCTTAAAGAAATTGCCTAAGCTCCATTTAACAACATAGCCAAATATTTCCTGAACTGAAAGATCCTCATAGGGTATAGCAAATCATTATGCCTAGCTTCATATCAGAGATCTTATACCATTAAAAGGCAATCAAGCTTAAAAACAATGGTTAGCCATTTCATTGTGATCTTCAGTGAAGCTATGACCTATTGATTTGTACAGTAATAAAATGAAATATTTTTCCTGTGCTGATTTACCCTCTTTCTGTTTAATTATAGTTTGAAAATGAGATCATCACCAAGTTGGATCATGAAGTAGAAGGAGGCCGAGGAGATGAACAGTATAAAGTGTTGTTTGAAAAAATGTAAGTGTTGGTGAGCAGTGGAATTTGTGTTGAAACAGTTGAGAGAGTTAGCAGTTAGGCGACAATACACTTTGCAGCCTAGCAATAATTAAAATATGTTAATGATTGAAATATTTAAAATTACACCTAGGTTGAGGGCCTGCTTCCAAGTGTAATTAACAAGTTTTATTTTTGTTTTTTGGTTTTTTTGTAATTATTTTTTCAGTCTCCTGGAGCATTGCAGAAAACATAAGTACCTTGCCAAAACGGGTGAAACTTTTGTTAAACTTGTGGTTCGTCTGATGGAGAGACTTCTAGATTACAGAACGATTATGCATGATGAAAACAAGGAGAATCGCATGAGCTGTACTGTCAATGTATTGGTGAGTTAGAAGAAGTATGGTGGCTACATTTATAATGGATGGAAAATGTTTAGACAATCAGCAGGATCCTGCTGAGAAACACAGATTTTATGGTTTTGATTATGTTGTTGGAAAATAAGAACAACAGCTTTTAAAGGACAGGGTCATGAAATTAGAGGCACAGAATTTAAATTAAATAGAAAAAATAGATGTTATCCTTATCATGCTGCTTAGAAAATTTTAACAAATTAATAATTATTTGTAGAGTTTTTTTCTATCTTAATTTTGAAGAACTATGCATATATATATATATGGACTGCCATGAGGGTGTATACAACCAGCTTTTTTGAGGTCTCCTCACTTCACTCTACCTCATAATATTCAGCTCTAATTTCATTTTCCTGAAGATGAAATAGAGGATTATACAGACTGTATAATGAGTTTATCAAGACTGTATAATGAGTTTATTGACTATTTGATATTTTGAATCCTCACTGGTTTACGTGGTTAGAATAGGATGGGGAAACTTCAGAAATTGCGGAAGTGTGCAAAGCTGGTTGGTTTTTATATCATAAACATTTTATAGCTTCTACATCTATTCCTTAATCCATCTACATTAGGTCTGTTCCTGTAATTTGAGTAAATTCAGGTTACTATCATTTACACAGGAGGCAATTTCTTCGCTGAACTTTGTTAAATATCCAATGTCATTACAATGTGAAAGTACACTTTTAGAGAATTACTGCAAGGTTTCTGGTAAAATATATAACTTTAGCTTCTGGCAAATAGCTCTGCTGTTTTAAGCATGGTGACTACATTATTAAAATAATTTTTTTAATATTGTTCTGAATTATTAATCCTTATTGTTTTTAAATGTTTTGGTCAAATACCCTCATCAATGTGCTGCGTTTAAAAGAGCTAGACATTAGACACTGCCATTGATACCTTTGTTCTGTATTTTTGAGAAGACCAACCTCCTCTTCATGATGTGACTGAATGTTCTTACATTATTTTGGCCCTAAAAAGCAGCTGCTGGTGGGGGCTGTTATAGATTAAGGGTATGGTCCAGAGGAGGGACGATTAAGGATATGACCCCTTGATATGACCCCTGTACTAAATGTTCAGTTAGTAAAAAGTCACGGCAGACTGTTAAATTTACCTGTGTTTCAGTACAGTTCTAAAGAATAAATCCTTCCATATTCTAATCAATATAAATAAATTGATAAATTAAGGGGTATAGATAATTTTGTATCTCTTATTCTAGCCCAGACCTGCAAAGTGTACTGGCTATGCAAGGTAGCTCACCTCCTTTTTGCTAGGATGGTCTTCAAGCATCTGGCAAATTACAGCCAATTGCTAGAAAGCAATGTTTGGTGAGTCCCAAATCGCACCGGCTCATCAAGATTTATTGGACACACAGAATATGCTTAATGCACTACATAAATAGTAGATGCTAGTATTAGATAAATAGGTTGCAGGAAGAGAACATGCAATAAATTTTTGTATTCAGGAGGACCGAATAATCGAATTTAAACTGGGTTTTTACAATATATGTTGCATGCTTCTAACTTCAGTACACTGATCTCAAAGCATGCAACAGGTGGCATGAAATTATTGGTATTGCATAACAGAAGGCTGAACTATCATACAGAAAAGAACATTTGCATCAGAGTTGTCCTTTGGAGCAACATTTTTTTCTAATCTTGGCATGGGAGAAAATTCTTGAAAGTTGCCACTGATAACGGGACCTGTAGAATAACACCTATTTGCTTTTAGAAGAAGCTGCCTGCTGTTCGGAGCAGAATTAGAATGACAAGATCTTGCTTCCTGAAAGATGACAAGAAATGAAAACAACAACAACCCAGAACTAGGAACAGTTCCATTGCTTTTGAAAAATATAAAATAAATTAGAGTAGTTTATCAAACTGGGAAAGTTTAGGAAGTTTACTTTCATTGCTATTCTCTATAATTTGTGTTGGCTTTGTTTGCCTTTGTTTCTAATTCCCACATTCTCATTCCTCAAGTGTATTCATCTGTTTACAGCATAGCTTTTGCTGCTATAATCCATCTAAGTTGCAATACATGAAAAAATCTGAGGGGCCTCAGCAGGATATTATGCCATATAAGTCCACCCCTACAAAGCAGCTATTTTCTTCAGGGGAATTCTTTTTTCTTTTTTCTTTTTTTTAATCTTGGTTGTCTGGAATCACTCAGCTTGACTGTCTCTATCCTGTATATTGTCTTGAATGACAGTAAGATACTGCTTGCCATTTACCTCACTAGAAAATGTCCAGCCCTACAAGAGCTTAGTTCTTCTATCTCATGAAAATTCCCAAATATTTGGGGCCTTTGGGATAAGGAATGGTAACCTCTAGCTTTAAAAAAAAAAAAAAAGATTATGGATGGCTTGTCCCCACTTCACTTCAAATGTAGTAGTATAATTGTTGTTCCTGAGAATGCTGATTGAACATTGTAAGGTTGCATACCAGGTCCCCGCTAACATTATTCTGTAGGAATACACACATCATCTGAGTAGATATTGTATTCATCTGTATAATATTTATATGTTTGTAGGCACAGACATAGGGAGACACCTAGTTAATTATATTGTATCTCTTGCATTTAATTTTATTAACCAGCACTTTCTGCCTGTCACAAAAAGCCTACATATGTAATTTGTGACTCTGAAAAGTTACAAAATACTGAATTTGTTTGCCCTTAAGTAACATGGGCCCCGGTCACACAGGCCGAATATCGCGGGGGGAGGCATGGCTAATTGCCCCAGAGGAAACTAATGTGCGGCCGCCCAAGCACACGTCCCGGTCGAGGTCCCGTTGTTCGGGGAAAATGCCAATCAGATGGGTATCCTGCAGCGCGGCACAGAAGCCATGCCACACGATCGCACTAGCAATCGCATGCGCTGTTGGGTGCTGTTGCGCAACCTGCGGAGACGAACAGCGGCGGGCGCCGGATGCCACATAAATCCACCAGGAACACGATCAGACACCCGCCCTTGGCCCGCAGTTTCAGGAACTCCGCGTTTTTTAACTCCGCACCTTTGGCGGGGAGCCACAGGTTCGCCATGGGAGCACTGCACTTCCCAGATGTTGGAGTGAGATCGTGCCCGGAAAATCCGTGGGACTCCCGTGCCTCTCCTGCGGCAACTTTGCCGTGTGACTGGGGCCATGACTACTTTACTGGAGTATCTCTAGTTGTTACAGTATGCCTACAATTAGAGTTCAACTCATAAATCACATGATACTTTAAAAATATAGACACAAATGCAGAAATAATGACACGAGACATGTCATGCGGGAGCGGTGGCGCATGGCATTAAAAAACCTGCAGGTTAATCTAGCCGAACTGCCGATGGCAGTTCGAGTCCCACCGCGGCCGGGGTGATCTCCCGGCCCTTTGTCCCAGCTCCCGCCCACCCAGCGGTCCGAAAGCCTGTATGGGCAAGTAGGTAAATGGGTACCTGCTCCATACAAGCGGGGGCCACCTTTCCTCCGTGATCGGTGTGAAAAGCAGCGGCAATGGTGTTAAATCGATGACGATAAGGCAAAGATGGCGGCGAGCCCGGAGTAGGGAGACCAGTGCCTGAAGAGCATGACGTGCAACGAAGACTGGAGCCGTGCAACGACTGACGTGCAACGAAGACTGGACAAAGAGTCGAGCTGCCTCGTTCGTGTTCTGTGGGGGCCATCTGCTGGAAAAGAGCTGCTAATGCAGAGAATCTGTACTTCAATCACTGGACATCTGCGCCCTTGAGGAAAAAGAACCACCATTGAATCCACCACCAAATTCAAGAAAGATCCTGCTGTTAGGTGCCTAGTTAGGAAAAATACCCTCCCCTCACCATTGTACCCCTAGCTTAGATAAAATTGTGTCTGTAAACCGCTCTGAGCCTCATGGATAGGGCGGTATATAAATCGCAAATGTAATGTAATGTAATGCAAGCTGTTTACTGTCTTTTACAAAACAGTGTAACTAGTAAAAAAAATCCCAATATTTATTCAAAGCTTTCTCAAAGGCTTCTGTGGAATTCAAGGTAGCCAGGGCTACACAGACCATAGTGATTTAATTCTATATTTCTAATCGTATGCCTTTTAATATCCTTTTTGTCATCATGCCTCAGTAGCACAATGTGGCTTAAATCATCTTTGCCTTCTGAATTATTTCCAGGCAAATATTTCCACGCATATTATCTGTGACAATATGCAGCAGGTACAAAGGCACAAAAGGGCAGTTTCTGGCTCCACACCAAGACTAAATTTTCCATCAGCAGAGGCAAACTTTCCTGCCTTCTCTCTCTCCCTGCAGCTCACTGATCTCCACAAAAACTGAGGAAACTGAGGAAAGAAATTAGGAGGGGTTGCAGCAGAAAGGTGTGTGTGTGATCAGTTGAAATTGCCAGTTCAATCACCATACATTTGAAGAAATATGGTAAATCAAATGGAAAGGATTCATGGAG